CTGCGGATCTGTGCACCATCATCCCCGTCTTACAGAGAGATCGCAGCGGGGCATTCCTGGAAAACGTCTCCTCATACACACAAACACGCAGTGTGAAATCGATAGCGAGCTGTCAGCTCTCCGTCCAGCCCGTTATACTGAACCTCTGTCCCACCAGCCTGGAAAAACTCATTGATCCTTAGATAGGATTTCAGTGAGAGCGTGTGCCTGAGAGAGAGACCGATAGAAAGATAGAGGGAGGGTGATCGTTCTACTTCAGCAACTTTAAATAGAAAGCTGACAACTGTAATACTGTAAATGCATCACAGTAAATGGAAACAGGACATTATGACCGCCTGACAAATATGATGTTGGTCCTCCGCATTTGCCAAAACAGCTCCGACCCGCCGAGGCACTGAGTCTACAAGACCTCTCATGGTGCCCTGTGGTATCTGGCACCGTGACGTTCTCAGAAGATCCTTTAAGTCCTGTAAGTTTCAAGGTGAAGCCACCACGGACTGGACTTGTTCCAGCACATCCCACAGATGCTTGATCGGACTGAGATCTGGGGAATGTAGAGGCCAGAGCAACACCCAGATGGTGCAGCGTTGGGAACACCACTACCATGAAAGGTTGTACCTGATGAACATCGTTGTTCATGTAGGTGGCACATGTCCATATGAATGTCCAGACCCAGACTGTGTATGGGGCTGCGTTCACAACGGGGGGTGGGGGGTGGGTCAGGATCATATGCCATGTACTATGAATGTACAGAACTTAATAAATTTGTCATTGGCTTCAGCTGCACGTTACCAAAGCCAGACATGAACACCCTCAAGGTCTTGACGGTACCAACCCTGAGCAGGATTTTAGCTTGCTTACTTTGAGAATCCAGGTCATATCATATAATTGGCTCTTGTCCTGTGCTAATAGTCAGACATGATTATTAATAACTTTAACGGCAGTTAACAGCCTTACTACTACTACAGTCATCAGTTATTGTTACTTGTCTGGTAATCACTGTGAATTCAACTTCTACTAATTATTCAGTAACTACTGAGTGAATAATATGAATTATTCAATAACTCCTATGAATTATTCAGTAATTACTATAAACTGTTCAGTGACAACTATGTATTAATCAGCAGCTAATATGAATTATATATATTTATATATATGTAACTACTAATCATTATTCAGTGACTATTATACATTTTTCAGTAACTACAGTAAATTATTTACTAATTACCATAAACTATTCAGTTGATACTAGTAAATATCCAGTAATTATTATAAACTATTTAATAATGGCTATGAGTTTATTATTCAGTATTATTCAGTAACTACGATACATTTTTCAGTACCTGCTTTTTCAGTATTTACTATCAATTATTCAGTACTTATATCAATTATTCAATATCTACTATAAATTGTTCAGTAACTGTTAGGAATTACTCAGTATCTGCTACACTTTATTTAATAATCACACAAATTATTCAATATCCACTGTAAATTATTCAGTAACTGCCATATACTGCAACTATTTAGTAACTACATTTAGTAACTACTTTAAATAATTAATAGTATACAATGTGTACTATTCATTATTTGGTAACTGCTATGAATTATTCAGTAACTTATATAAATGATTCAATAATGATATAATTGATTCATCACCTACTACGAAGGATTTAGTATCTACTGTAAGACCACTTTGTAGGCTCTTTAGTTCTGAGGAGCTGAAGTGTGGACCCCCAGTTCAAACCTTTACAGTTTATGGGCTGAAACCACTGTACGTGAGAAAGTGTGTACACACGTGTAGTACCGCAGATACATAATTCAATGCCACGCGGGTCGGCCCTCTGATGGTAAACAGTTTTGTGATGTCATCATCACTCACTGTCCCAAAACTGCCCACGTCAGGGATTCAGTGTTCTGGCTCGGGAGCTTGTGTGTCCTGACTTGTTGGGATCTGTTTTATTGAAAAAAAAAGGAGAAGAAAGTCTCTGGTCTGCTTGTGATAGCTTGTTTGATAGCAGAGAAGGGAATTGTGTGTATGTGAGAGAGAGAGAGAGAGAGAGAGAGAGAGAGAGAGAGAGAAAACGGCCCCGAACGTTTGCATCGTTCATCAAAGCAAGCTACAACCTCAGCACCTAAGATATAATGTATAAAAATATACTATACGTGGGCTGGCATGGTTTCAAACCTGAGAACAATGTGTGTGTGTGTGTGTGTGTGTGTGTGTGTGTGTGTGTGTGTGCTTGTGTTGTCATGTTATGCGATATAAGCTGAACTCGTGTGAAATGAGCTGTATCCTAATATAGAGGTATAAAGTGTCGGTGAGTATGGGAATGACACCCAATAAATCTTGCAGACAGAAGTTATTCAGTATTCATGGATTCAACACACACACTGTAAAATAAGTGTAATCTGTATTACAGGCGGTGTGTGTGTGTGCGTATAATAGCATGATCCACGATGCACTGAAACACACAGCGACGCAAATCTTCATACCAGCCTCAACAATAATCTCCTTCATTTATTTCTGCCTCTGAACTTTCGTGGCTCTATCTGTTAGACCTGCATATAATTTACACAGCAAAACTCGGCAAAAAGGCTCTGGAAAAGTTTTATTAGCTGCTAGGAGTCACTTCACACCGAATCTATTCTATTCTGGTCTTAACCCAGGCATGTGCTGTGCGATTTTAGAAATACTTTGGTGACAACGGACAAAGCCTACGATTTACAAGCTCCGGAGGAACCCTGAGAACCTTCTAGGCCTTCAGAGAAAGCCTAACGATTTCTGTGAAATAAAAAATACATGTCATTTTTAGTTCATTTTTATTCAGTAGAATCATCCTTGTATTTAAACTCTGCAGGCATTACGGCACTACACCTGTTCCATTGTTCAGTCTCAGATGGAAACAAAAGGGTTAATTCTCCAAACTGACCCATCTAGGTAGATAAAGCTAGGCGAGCTCTCCTATTGATTAGGACTTTCAAAGCTGAAGTGAACGCCAAAGACATTAGATTAACCATCGGTGTAACTGCAAACGAACAGAGGGATCAACCAATCACGTCTTGATTTACAATGAGATTCTAGTAGTTCTAGATACATGACTGACCATAAATATGGGCCCTAGTCTAACCAGGTTTCACTGCTAAACACCTACAAGGAAAAATAAATGCTAATATGTCTGTCACAAGCTTCAAATAAAACACGGAATGACTTTAGAAGCTTCAAATGTCTGTGTTTGGTCTAGAACGGCCAAAAAGCATGAATCGATATTAGCTTAGCGCTAATAAACGACTAGAGTCCCATAGAGGCATGAGCGATTAGCATTACTGTAGTGGTATTTTTTTTGAAGGCATAGCTCTAATAATCACCGTTCACCACTGATATGCTCACACTGTGCAAAAACGCTTGATCATCATTAATATGACTTCTCAACCTGAGCTCGTTTGGGCACTTAATTGGGCTTCGCTTCCCCGAAGAGGCTGAAATTTGGCTCAATCCTGAAAGTGAGTCGCCTATGACCAAATTATGCTTAAGAACAGGCTAAATTCATAGAGTGTATGCCTTACGCCAGACATCATCTCGTAATGAGAATATGCATCTAAGGACAACTCGTTAAAAAGCGCAACCGTTAGCTGACAGAACTGTTTTCCTTTTGCAAGAGATGCTTATTTCTCTTCTACATGCTTGATTGGTGTTTTTCAGCCAAGCTAACTTGCGTTAAATCCATTGGCTACTAACAAGCTTGCTGTCCGTGGGCCAACACTGACAATCGCTCCATCGACCCCTACTTTGAGCTCAGCCTTCATGAGGCGTTGGACTAGTTTTGAATTTTCCCACTCAAGCTGTTCCCACCCAATATAGCACAGAGTTTCTCATGGCTACCCCCAGATGGTTTTTGTTACGAGGTCACGTTTGGCCACGCAAGAACGGCTTAATCCGTTAGCGGAATGTTCTCAAAGCCCTTTCTGTCCTGCTGTTCTCTAAACTGATGATTTGATGCTGCAGTATGAGTTTGATTACTATGCACTGATACAATTCGGCTCAATTCAGATCACTGTTTGAGAAGCAATTCAAGACAAAGTCCCAAAGCAGCTTTACAGAGATCCCGGTCCAGACCCATAATGAGCGAACCGAGGGAGACCAGTGGAAGGAAACGCTGCACACAATTTCTCCTCCAGATATTTACACACTTTAACATCTTCTGTCTGATAATTTACTGGCAGGCAAACACTCTCGTCGGTCACTGGGGTATCTCCCGGATCTCTCCTCTGATCCCAGTGCCTCCGTTTAATCTTCTCTGTAAACTTGTCCTAGTCGTATCCTATCTGTACTATCAGTGTGGCTCCGAGGATGATGCACTCCACTTTAGAGTCTTGGTTCTTCAGTGTTTTTCTGTCTCATGCTCTCAGGGAGTTTCTCCTTCTGAGTCTTGGTTCCTTTCAGTGGTTTTCCTTCTCGCTATCTCCACTGGTGATGCTTATTAAGGGCATACAACCACATTATCCTGCTTTGGGACAATGAATGTTGGAAAAAGTGCTATGCAAAAACAACTGAACTGAAAGGCTACAAAAGAATGCAAGACAATGAAACCTTGAGAGGCGTCAAGACAAATGGGGGACCCACAGTACTATAGCTACTAAAGCTACAGGCTGCCACTTTTAGCAGAAGGGGAGGAGCCATCAGAGGAAGCCTCAGTTTGAAATGTCAAAAAAAGGCTGAACTAGCCACAAATGCAATTTAGGACAAAGAAATTTAGTGTTATTTCTGAAAATCTACCTTCCTGCAGGTTTCACCTCTAACCCAATTCAGACAAAGGCATCTGAAAGCAATGATGAGATCAGGTGGGGTCAATTAGGATTGGAAGTAAATTCTGCAGGACGGTAGGTCTCCACGAGCAGAGCTGGTGATCACTGCAATAGATGTTAAAGCATATAGTGATCAGTGTTTGTATACAGGGGCTAGAGCCTGAGTCGAGACACAGGGTCAGTGTTGCTATTCTTACCTTGCTGGCACCTCAATATTGGAGATGGCGTAGAAGTACTTGAGCAGGTTGTCCCTCTGCACGTACGTCCCGCCGAGCGCGGGCCTCAGCAGCCGCAGCCGCAGGTCGGTGAAGGTGAAGAAGTCGCGCAAGCCCTTCATGCTCTCCATGCGCGTGTACAAGCCCTCCATGTTGACCAACCTGGGCCCGGCGAAGATGGCAAAACGTGGCCGCACCTCAAAGCGGACCACCTTGTCGTTCTTGGAGCCCACCCAGCGGGAGTACAGCTCGGTGCAGATGACCCGTGTGACGTTGGCCGCCGTCAGGTCCTGCACACGTCTGGGCGGCATGGTGAACGCCTCCATGCAGTCGTCGGCGTAGTACTGGTAGGGCTGCCACGTGCGGCCGTAGTTCAGGGACTTCTCCAGTACCATGATGGTGGGCCGACCGTACTCGAAGGTGATCTGGATGTCGTCAGTCAGCTCCAGGCTCTTGTTCCACGACAACGTGATGTTGGCAAGCAGCGGCTCGGGATAACGGCTCCACGTGACCGTCTGCCAGTAGGTAATAAGGCCACCACGCTCTCGATCCTGCATCAGCTGGGGAGGATGGGCCAAGTCTGGATTTGACGCATCGCATTCGTCACTGCACAGATATGGATTCTCCTGGGGAGGCAGAGAGAGAGTGGAGGTCAGTTAACCCCCTACACTCTAAGCTTATTGTTCAGTTATTCATCTTAGGTCAATAATCAACAATGTAAACAATCAACAAAGTCAACAATGTTAAAGAAACTTGTCTTCATTTATTTAAACAGGACGTTGAATCTGTGTTAATGTGTCTCTTCACGATTCTGCTTCCACAAGTATAAAACTTAGTGCAAACCAGTGTTTGCTGCTGATTTTACAAAGGCTTGCAACTATACCCAATTATCTGACATCAAACAGCTCCGGCTTTGCAATTCATACCAATTACTGTTCTCTTACAATCAAACATGAATGAGTCACATATTTTTTCCTGTTATAGGTACATGTTAAACAGTACTGCTACATGTCCATGATTTTTGAGATTAAGCACCTGTGACTGACAAAACATTTGATATATTTATAATATGTTGAAGTTAAACACCTAAGGTATAGGTATGTTTTATCATTATCTGATGAAACAAATCAATATTAGGCTCTTCCATAGCGACGTCAATTGTACTATGAATGTATGTGCACAGCCCTGCGATGGACTGGCGACCTGTCCAGGATGTATCCTGCCTTCCTCCCAATGACAGCTGGGATAGGCTCCAGCACCCCACCGTGACCCAGAAGGATAAGCGGTTTAGATGATGTATGTATGTATGTATATGCAGAGCACCCACTAACAGCATCACAGAGCTTCTTTTATACAGTAATAGAAAACACGGTAGCTCACAGAAAGCTCCAATTCTACACACTAATCCATTTTGCTCACCAACTTGGTCATGCAGGATCACCAACCACTCTGGGGGCAGATTTGATCCAGTTAAAAGAGACGAGACAAAGGGTCAGATGTACAATGAGTGCAGGAGCAGCACAAAAAGTTCCTAAATTTCTCAATTTATGACGACTTGCTGCCTATCAGGCAGACTGCACATAGCCCCACCCACTACTTTTTCCCACCCAAACATTCTACAGGGGTGTTCAATCAATCAATCAACCTTGATTTAAACTCAGAGTACATTGAGGGAGATCCTCATTTACAATGTAGCCAAGCCAATACAGAAAACAGGGACTGAAAAATTACATAGTGAAAACATTAAGTGCTAAAAAAGTAATAATAATCGAAATAGTAAATGTAATAGTAAGTAAAAAAAAAATCAATAAACAATAAAACTGCAACAGTACTGTAACTAATAAACAGCAGATCAAATAATGAGAAAATAAATAAAAATATAATTAATGAAATTAAACAGGAATAGAAGATATAAAACAATAACTTGGCAATAATAACATAAATAAAAAGAGTAATAAAAGTGAAACAATAGCTAAAACATACCAAAATCATTTTAAGGTTAAATAAAATCAAATAAAACATTTGCAGGCTGAGACAGACTTGTGCAACAATAACACAGACTGCATGCGCATATTAATTGTGGCTGCATCATGGTGTGTGTGTATATATATATATATATATATACCAGACCATAAACTGCGCATTGAGCCTCGTGTACCAGTTTCATACGTAACAGAATGCATAACAGAACACAAAAGGCTCAGTATATCAGGCCCAAAGTCTTTGAATGTATCACTGGCAAAACAATCAGTCCAACAGGGTTAAACATATTTACTTGTCTTCTTAGTTAACCCTTTAAATGGCCAGGGCCCACTGGTGGGCCCAAAGTTTTACTACTTGCCTCTACAACCTAATAATAGCTGAGCTAGTTTGCATTGTAGCCTGTGTAGTTACTGTACAACAACGGATTTTAAAGGGTGAAGAGTTGTCTACAGTATTTTACAAAAAAATTAACTGGTTATCACAACAAATTCATAACGTCAGGATAGCTTTGGGCAGGTGTGTACTTACTTCAGATGTTTTTTTTTTGCACTTTCCAGTCAAGTATTTCTCTGAAGTGATTCTACTTTATATTAGAGACACAAAAACAAACTTACGCCTTGTTTTAAAAAGGCTAAAAATGTAAAAACGGGCAACCGTTAGCTGCTCAAACTTTGGTAAAAAATTGAAAAGGTAATTTCAGAGCACTTGGAGCCCCTAAGCGACATTCCCCACCCACCCTAATCTTATTATTCTGAATTTCAGAAATGATAAACAAATAAATACATCCTACACGGACAGAATGCGTCTGATTTGCACCTGCCGTTATTGAGACATCAAGCCCTCAGTATCAGAAGTATACAGGCAGAATACACCAGTGAGAGGTCACATTTAGCAAACAGGAAGAGGCGGTAGGGATGCTTTCCACCACAGAAGGCTTTCTAACAAAATCCCAGTCATGTAGCTTGTGCTACACTGTCAGAGACGCTGCTCTGAGGATACTCTGATGTGTTCTGAAGAACTGTCTCTGTTCAGCTTCTGCACTGAGCAGTTCAGGTTGGAGACAGTGCTGTGTGCTGAGTGCAGCGTTCAGCTTCATAACTATATTAACATGTCTAATTCTGAAATATTAGGCTGGTATGCAGCATTATGAGGCTGCAAGGACTTCGATGGTGTGTAAGAAGCGCATCAGCTTAAAATGCAGGACTTTAAAAGCAGTCTTGTGATAAAATATTAATGTAGTACACAGAAAAACATCTTAGATTTAAGTGAGGAAGACACAGGCTTTAAATATTCCTGCAGCTGTTTGATCTAGCAACAAATATCTCAGCTGTTTAGTAGTGAGAACGGTGATGCCCAAACTGGAACACCCTGGAACGGTGATATGGGAAAATAACACGGCTTTTCTGAAGCTGAGGGTCATGAATATGCAAAATGTGCAAAGTCTGCCTGGATGCAAGCGCAATATGTGATCACAATGCGTTTGAAATTAGCGTTCAGTCTACAAAAGCTGCTGTTAACACGGTTTTTAAAAGGCGCAGTGAAACAGTGGGGCTGTCAACAAGCTGGAGACAGAAGAGAAAATGAAAGTTCGGTGATGAAGAGACAGCGGCCCCTAGTGGCCATTCCACTAGCAGAAAGGAAACCCACTCTGATATTTTTGATTAACATAATCAAATAACATATTTTCTCTCTTATCATTTAAACTGGGACACTCTTGTCTCTCTGTGATAGATTTTGGGACTCTGTGTTGAGCTGCTAGTGAGCAATGATGGGTAAAAGGGGAGGGGTGTGAACCCCCTGCTGTGAGAACAGGTCATACTTCTCCACAAAGAAGCCGTGCTGAGATAAACCAGACAGACTCCAGCTTTATTCATATCAAACAATCCTGTACAACTGACACAATGAACAAACAACAACAACAACAGCATTTATTTGTATAGCACTTTTTACAACTAGTATTGGCTCAGAGTAGCTTTACAGGAAAGCAGTTTCAGGAAAGATCAAAAGAATAAAAAAGAAAAAAGAAAATAAGAGAAAATAAAAAATCCATGTACAGACGTAAGGAACCAAATCCGGGTCTAAGCCCCCCATGAGCAAGGAAGAGGCGACAGCAGAAAGGAAAAACTCCCTTGGAGTAAGAGGAAGAAACCTCAAGAGGAACCCAGGCTCAAGGGAGGAACCCATCCTCCTCTGGTCGACCCCGGATAAAGAGAGAATGACAGAGCTAATGGGGTTTTATGACAAGATACAACAAAGAGCTCGAACGTCTTTCAGAGATATTCTGATTAATCCAGGAGAAAGTGATGTAAAGTTAGAACCATCTCATAGGCTCTCAGTCAAAGTGAGAGACAGAGTTCATGATCATGAAATACAGCATTTAAACCCAATAAAAACACTTATAACTCCAAAACAGGAGGACAGGGCATTTTGTGGCTACTGTGAAAAGGAGTTAATAACTTCTGTTCTACTGCAGCTAAAAAACAGGTTTGCAAAACAGTATCGCGGACTGTGAGCGCCACACCACGGCACATTGCACTGTGTCTTTTCACACATATATCTGATCCAGAAAGTTTAAACATTGACGTCAATATCTGTCTATCTATATATCTGCCTCTTTGTTGGCTCCCACCGGCTGCGTCTCCATTCAAACGTTTCGCAAATGATATGCGCAAGAAAAAAGGCAAATTAAGCTGTGTTTCCATTCACTACAGTTACCTGAAGAATGTTTCGATGATGTAGGCTACCATGACTAGAGGCTGCACTGAAACAAGCAAAAGGGATTTAACTCTGTTTTCAGAATCGTCTTTACAGCCATTTCCCATCTTTTTTAAAGCTGCACTGTTTGCAGCTCAGCAACGGCCCACCTAGTGAGGGCTGAAATCTCTGTGCCACCCCAACAACGTCCACCTTGCATCCGGGAACACAAATGCACCAGACAGTTGTGGGAGCCATTTTCCAAAAGAGGTTTGGATCAGGTATTTCGGAAAAGTCGAAAGCAACCTTCTGAAAGCTACGCGCCACGATGGGCCCGTCTGCAGGACCAGTTATTTCTATTTCCATATATATCTACAGCTTGACATTTGAATTGAATTTGAAAAATCCTTTTTCACATTTCGGCTTTGGCGATATTCTAACTTTTCCACCTCGTCTTGGCGTAAAACTGTTTTTAATATATTTGGTTGTTTTTTCAAATTTCAGTTTGTTTTTTTACGCATTTTCGAAATTCACAAAAAACTGGTGAAAAAAACCCACTATTGTTAAAGCCTCTCAACAACACACATTTCCGGCACTACTGCTAATTTGTGGCTGGTTTGAAAATGCAGAGAAAAATCAATGCTGAACCGGCTGCCGCTAGCTGCTCAAACTTCAGTAAATCGAGAGGAATATGAAATGTCTGTATAATTCTGATATCATTTCTGATATAATTGTGGCGTGCGCCCGCCACCCCCCCCGGGCCCCGCCCCCTGTTCCGCATGCCGCTCCACTCCACCTTGTGTTCAATGCGGGCGGACGAGCTGCGAGCGGGAGACAGTGACGACGAGGCGCAGCAACAAGCTCTCGTTCCCTCTCGGCTGGGGTGCGCCTTTTAAAAAGAGCTGAGAGGGAACAGAGCAAGAGAGAGGGAACGAGAGCTTGTTGCTCC